GCATGTAAGACCAGGCCGGCAAAACTGCCCACTTTCGTAATGTGGGTGCTTACGACTGCGGCGCATGAGTCCCTGCTGGCGAATGGGCAGCGCCAGCAGGCGCAGCGCGCGCGCGGCCCAATGCGTTGCGCGCGCGCTGCGGCCCGCGCGCGAAGAACTTGCGGCTCGCGCGCTCTCTCTCGGCACTGCGGCGCGCGCAAGACTTGCGCTGCATGCGCGCGTCGTGGAACGCGCGCGTGCAGGCTGCCGCGTGCAATCCTGGCGTTGCACACAAGCATTGCGTCGAACGGGCTGCCGTTGGGTTCGCCGTGGGACCCCCCGAAGATGTTGCAGGAACGACGGCGACGCGGCGCGGGCGCGCGCGCGCTGGCGCGCCGCGGTGCGAGCAGGCATTGCTCCGCACGCGGGGCGCCGCGCATGCGCGCGCACGGGCATTAAAGCGCAAGCAGGCGCCCTGTGGCACGCAGGCAGCGGAATGAACATATGCACTGCGGCGCACGCGCGGACCCTAGTGCGCTCGAGCACTGTGCGCCGCAGCGCTCGGCTGCACCGCCGAAGCGCGCAACAATGCGCGGCAGTTGACGAGCCCCTCCCTTTGCACATTTAAAGATGGGCGAGGACGGGGGGCGGCGTTCTGTGACATATGCCTCCTGTTGAGCAAGCTCCCGGGAAAGAGCCATGTCAATTCCTCACCTTCATCCTGGTCGTTATCCTCCCCTCTCTTGCTCCATACCTGTTCCTCATCGTCTCAATCATCGCCTCAACTTTCCCGCCCGCGCCCTCATTATCATCGTGTTCCTTTGCCCCGTTCCGAACACGCCTGACACCGCGCATTGCAACTGCCAGTAACATAACACGTCGATCCATGCATACCGGCTGGCGGTGCACAGCGCGCGGTGCACAAGATCGCTGGCAATGCCGGCCGTGGCCGTTAAACATAGTCATAGTGATGGGCAAAAGAAAACACTAGCATTGCAGAGCGGGTGGCGCTGCGAAGTGCATTGCCGGTATGGCAATGCGCATCGCGTGCACAGAAATTGTGACAAACACGTGTAACCTGAGGCATACAGGAACATGAATTTGTTGTTCTGCACGCGCGCACTGTTGACATTACATTGCGCACGTACACTCATGCGCACACGTGCCACTGTGGTGGGCACCAGCACACGCACTGTGGTCCTCACAATTTGCTCCAAGTGCGGTTGGTTTCTTGGCGTTTTTTTGTGGCGACCTACAGAAGGGTTCTTTGTTGTGGAGGCCATGCACATAAGCACTTCTGTGGAAGCCCATCGAAGGATTCCTAGTATGGCGGCCTTAAAGAACATCTGTTTGTGGCGGCCTTGCAAGAATAATTCATGTTGTGTCGGCCTTACCGAATGAGTATGGTGTGTGGTGCCCTGGCAACTCCTTGTAATCCTTCCGACAGACAAAGGGAACACTGCAAATCACGATGAATAGTGAGGACAACATAAGGTGACCGCACAAACACAACAAACCAACATGAAGACCAAAAGACACGTATGAAACCACACTACCTTTTTATGCGGTTCGTTGTTTATCCCTGCGCCTTGCTGTTTTCTCTCAATTCCATGTGATTCCCGCAGCTGGCTGCCGAGAAAAACCCGGCTGCGGCGCAGAAGGTTTCATGTTGCGGCGGCCTTACAACAGGGCTCCTTTTTCGTGGCGGCTTTAAGACAAATTCGTCTTGTTGTCGCGGCGTTACGAAACAAAAACATTAATTTTTTGGCCGCCGGATTATTTTTTTCGGCGGCCCTGCAACAGTTCTCTTCTAAAGCCCGGACAAATTCTTGTGAACCTTCCAAAATACAAGAGAAACGAGAAAAACAATATACACAACAAATACCGCGAGCATGTAACCGAAAAACAATGAGGACCAAGGGAAAGCGGAGAAAACACAATATGGGTTATGTTGCTCCTGGACGTCAGTACCGGCAGCACTGGCGGCAGTACCAGCAGCACCTGCGTCAGTACCAGCAGCACCGGCGTCAGTACCACTAGCACCGACGTTAGTACCAGCAGCACCGATGTCAGTACCGGTAGCTCCGCCTACAGCAGCAGCGCCGACGGCAGTTCCAGTAGCACCGACGGCATTACCAGTAGCACCGACGTCAGCTCCAGCAGCACCGGCGTCAGTACCAGTAGCTCCGACGTCAGCACCAGAAGCACCGACGGCAGTACCAGCAGCACTGGCGTCAGTACCAGTAGCTCAGACTCCAGCAGCAGCATCGACGTCAGTACCAGCAGCACCGACGCCCGTACCAGCAGCACCGACGTCCCTACCAGCAGCACCGACGGTAGTACCAGTAGCTCCGACTCCAGCAGCAGCATCGACGTCAGTACCAGTAGCACCGACGTTCCTCCCAGCAGCACCGGCGCCAGCACCAGAAGCACCGACGTCAGCACCAGAAGCACCGACGTCAGGACCGGAACCCTCAGCCGCCCGCGACGAGGATGGGCTGGCATTCCCCGAATCTCGGGCAGTTGCGAACGAGGCAGGTCAGGGCGGCGTCGCCCAGCGTGCAGCAGCCGCGGAGTCGAGCAACGACCACGACCAGGCGGCGACGAGCGGCCTGGAGACCTCCCCCGTAGCGGCAGGCAGATCGTCCGGCGACTCCATGGACGACCGCCTGCCTGGCGCGCATCCGACGGCCCAGGGGTCCAGAGGTCCGGCGTCGGAGCCAGCGCTAGTAGCAGACCTGGGCGGCGACGGCATCACGGCCACCGACAGTGTGGCGCCAGCAATCCCGACGGGCCCCGAACCGGGGACAGCTGCTGCATCGCCTGCCGCCGCCGCGGCCCTCAGAGACGTGGAGCAAGGTGGCACGAGGCCGTCTCGGCCAGGCCTTGTCGGCGGCGCCCCTGAGGGCCCACCGGCCTCCGCGGCCTCCGATCGCGCGGCAGAGCCGGGCCAAGCCCCATCGCAAAGTCTGGCGGCAGGCAACGATTTCGCTGCCATCGAGGGCTACCAGCAGGGGGCGCGCCCGGCGACAGCATCGAGGCCCACGCCCGCAGGAACAGCGTCGCAGCCGACAGCATCAACAGCAGCAGCACTGACCTCAACAGCCGCACCGACGGCCATACCAGCAGCAGCAACCCCGACGTCAGCGCTAGTACCGGCAGCAGCACCGGCGTCCGCACCAGCAGCATCACCGACGTCCACAGCAGCACCGACGCCAGCTCAAGACCTAGCTGCAGCACCGACGTCAACAGCAGCACCGGCGCTAGGACGCGCACAAGCACCGACGTCAGCGTCGGCACCGGCTTCAGCACCGACGCCAGCACCAGCAGCAGCACCGACGTCAGCTGCAGTACTGACGTCAGCTCCATCTCCAGCAGCAGCACCGACGTCAACAGCGGCACCGACGCAAGCACCAGCTCCGACGGCAGCGCCCGCACCAGCAACAGCACAGACGACAGCACCAGCGGCGACGTCAACAGCAGCAATGGCATCAGCTCCGACTCTAGCAGCAGCACCGACGACAGTGCCAGTAGCACCGACGTCAGTGCCAGTAGCACAGACGTCAGTATCAGTAGCACCGGCGTCAGTACCAGCAGCATCGACGTCCGTACCATTAGCTCCGACTCCAGCAGCAGCGCCGACGTCTGTACCAGCAGCACCGACGTCCTTACCAGCAGCACCCACGTCCCTACCAGCAGCGCCAGCGTCAGTACCAGTAGCTCGGACTCCGGCCGCAGCAACGACGTCAGTACCGGCAGCACTGGCGGCAGTGCCAGCAGCACCTGCGTCAGTACCAGCAGCACCGGCGTCAGTACCACTAGCACCGACGTTAGTACCAGCAGCACCGATGTCAGTACCGGTAGCTCCGCCTACAGCAGCAGCGCCGACGGCAGTTCCAGTAGCACCGACGGCATTACCAGTAGCACCGACGTCAGCTCCAGCAGCACCGACGTCAGTACCAGTAGCTCCGACGTCAGCACCAGAAGCACCGACGGCAGTACCAGCAGCACTGGCGTCAGTACCAGTAGCTCAGACTCCAGCAGCAGCATCGACGTCAGTACCAGCAGCACCGACGCCCATACCAGCAGCACCGACGTCCCTACCAGCAGCACCGACGGTAGTACCAGTAGCTCCGACTCCAGCAGCAGCATCGACGTCAGTACCAGTAGCACCGACGTTCCTCCCAGCAGCACCGGCGCCAGCACCAGAAGCACCGACGTCAGGACCAGAAGCATCGACGGCAGTACCAGCAGCACCGGCGGCAGTACCAGTAGCTCCGACTGCAGCAGCAGCACTAACGTCAGTGCCAGTGGGACCGACGTCAGTTCCAGTAGCACCGACGCCAGCAACAGCAGCACCGACGTCAGGACCAGTAGCTCCGACTCCAGCAGTAGCACCGACTTCAGTACCAGTACCTGCAGCCCCCCGAGGAGCCGCGCCGCCGCCAGGCTCTCCCCCGCCTGGCCCGCCGTCCGCTTCGGCCACGGCGCCGACACAACCATCCCCGTGCCCTGGCGGCGAGGCGCCCCTGGTCACGTCGGGGGCATGGGCCCGCTTGCTGATGAGGCTGACCAGCCTTACCTGGCCGGGCGAAGGCCGAACCCGCCTCCCACCGGAAGTGGTACGAGTAGCAGTGCAGGAGGTCAGCCCCTACATGGTCGTGGCTGCGGGCACCCACGCGCTCGTGGGCACGCGGGACGGGGACGCCCTCGACGTACCATGCCTGGAGGACGGCAGGGACGCATACTACGCTGCCGCAGCTGGTCTGCCGAGCTCCGACAGCGCGGCAGCCGACGACCTCCCCCCGGCGTTGCTGGCCATAGGATTACGCCACGACGGCCTCCAGGCTCTGCGGGCCGCGCTGGCCGCTGCCGACCGAGCGGTGGACATCCTCGCTATCGCTTGCCGGCGGACTGCCTCGCCGGGCGTAGCAACGGGCACGGACTTGTGTCTTCTGGCGCATGCCGAGTGGGGAGCCCGGAACCTCGCGATGGCAGCCCATTTGACAGCGGTCGGACAGCCGCTGACAGATCGCGGCCGCGCCGTGCAGTGCTTCGCCCTCCAGGTGCCCTTGCGCCCCGAGCCAGCCCGCCCTCCTGTGGAGACGATCGTGACTTGGGCCGGAGCGGCCGAGCTGGCCAGCGAATGCCTGCACATCCTACTCCACGAAGGCCTGGACCCGCACGTGCACGCGGCCCTCCTTCGCTTCCAGGCTGCGACCAGGGCGCGTGGCCTGAGTATGGAGTGGGCCACCGAATCCCTCAGACCCGGAAGCGATCCACACCAGGCGGGGTCCCACGTGGCGCCACTCCTTTACCACGCAATCCGTGTCACGTCAGCGCCAGCGGCCCCAGACATCGCAACTTTGGGAAGTGCTCTCGCAGCCATCCAGCACCAGGGCTTCACCTTGACTTGGTGGCGGGATCGAGATACGCACCATGCCGTGCACATCCCGATGGCCCGCGGCAGCATCCCAGCAGCGGTGGCCGCAGCGGAGGAGCCCGCTCTCCAGATGGGTGGCCGCGTCGCAGCGCGGATCGATGGGCTGTTACTGCTGGACCTCCTCCCAGCAGTCACGGAGGGCGTGGTCCGTGCGGCACAGCTTGACCAGTGGATTTCCCCGGCCGCGCCGGCCAGCCGCATCCTCTGGGCTGGTGACGCCCACAGGCCGCGGGGGTTCCTCTCCACTACGGGGCCGACGGCAGGCCATGATCTTCTCTGGCTGGTGGTCACCAGAAACCAGGTCTCCGACGGGGACGTCGCGCGCCGCCTGCAGGACCTACTGGCGCACCCCGTCCACGTCTCGACAGTCAACGCCCTGGACCCATCCACCGACAGGTTCGACAACATGAGCCTTGTTCGGGTCGCGGCGCCTGCGGCCGACCGCATGCGCATCCAGGTGGGGAGCAGCGGCCAAGTGACGGTTGCCGGGGTGCCTTGCCGGGCGTTTCCTTTTGGATCGACCCGCATTCGGACGCAAGGTCACCGCGCCCCGCGCACGCCTGACGCGATTCGCCAGCTCTTGGCGGCCGCGTCGCGCCCAGGCGCCGCGGCTGGAGGGCGCTCCACCTTTCTCGCAGGTGGCACAGAGGACGCCCCTCGAACCCTCGGGAGCCGCTCTTGGTCCGGCGGTGCCCCGGCTGCTGGAGTTCCGGACGGGCCCATGGCCGTCGGGCGGCCAGGCAGATGCGGACAGTTGGGCAGACGTCTGGACGCGCATGCTCTTCCTCGGGACCGTGGTGCACGCGCGCCTCTGGGTGCCAGCGGAGCCCACCCGCCCGGCCTCCCGCCCCCCGCCGCTGCCGCTAGGATGCCAGGACCACTTTTCGCAGACTCTCCACTCCTCTTTGGGGGCGGGGGCCGCCTTCCGGCAGGAGGGCGGGGTCTCGGGCCTCAATGGCTGGAGCGACCACCTGCTTCCCGGCGAGCTCCTCCTCGTTCGCGTCGCCGCGGGGAGCCGCCTGCGCCTCCGCGCACCAGGGGAGGAGCTGTCGTGGACGCCTACGTTGCCAGCGTGGATCGCGGTGGTGCACCCCGCCGAGGCTGACGGCCGGGCCGCGGCTCACCAACTCGATGGATTCCTGCACGTGGACGTGGAGCTGGCCGATGGCCCTGTGTGGGTCGCCCGGCGCCCTCCATCGGGCCCTGCGCTGGCGACCCGGCGAGCCGCGGCGGCGCCGCCGCCGGCAGCTGCAGCACCAGCTCCTACCGCCCCGCCTCGTGACCCCCGTACTTTCCGGGAGCGTTTACAGCACCTCGGAGATCCACCAGCTCCACCAGGCCCTCTCCCGTCGGCGTTGGTGGACCCAGCCAGGGCGGCCGCCCGGCTCGCGCTTCAGCCAGTCGCGGACACGCCAGCGGCCCGATATGCGGATCTCTTGGCGCATTGGCTGGTGGCCCACATCACGGCTTCCCAGCGCCCGCAACCCCCAATCAGGTGGCAGTGGGCGATGCTGATCGTTGCTTGGCTGCTGGAGGTGTTTGTTTTTTTTTTTTTTTTTTTTTTTTTTTTTTTTTTTTTTTTTTTTTTTTTTTTTTTTTTTTTTTTTTTTTTTTTTTTTTTTTTTTTTTTTTTTTTTTTTTTTTTTGTTTTTTTTTTTTTTTTTTTTTTTTTTTTTTTTTTTTTTTTTTTTTGTTTTTTTTTTTTTTTTTTTTTTGTTTTTTTTTTTTTTTTTTTTTTGTTTTTTTTTTTTTTTTTTTTTTTTTTTTTTTTTGTTTTTTTTTTTTTGGTTTTTTTTTTTTTTTTTTTTTTTTTTTTTTTTTTTTTTTTTGTTTTTTTTTTTTTTTTGTTTTTTTTTTTTTTTTTTTTTTTTTTTTTTTTTATTTTTTTTTTTTTTTTTTTTTTTTTTTTTTTTTTTTTTTTTTTTTTTATTTTTTTTTTTTTTTTTTTTTTTTTTTTTTTTTTTTTTTTTTTTTTTTTTTTTTTTTTTTTTTTTTTTTTTTTCCTCGCCTCGCAACCGAGCTGTGGCAACAGGCGCGGGTGCCGCGGAAGGACCGCGCACCCGATCAGGAGATAAAAGAAAACAGAGAAAAAAAAAGTCTCCAAGTTGGACCAAAAAAATAAAAAGAATCCTGCCCGCCGGCGCCAGCCCTTCGAGCCGTGGCAGCACGGGCGGCGCGGCGTGAGGCCAGGCGCGCCGCTCCCAGGCAGCCGGGTGCAGGACGCCGCCGGCGCCCGCAGACACGGGCACACCAGCTACGCACTGTCAGCAGAGGCCAGCGCGGCCTTGGACGCTTTGGTTCACGCGACGCTCGCTGCCCAGGCACCTGGCGTGAGCCCAGCGGCGCCGGCGGCGCCAGCAGCGAGCGCCACCGACGCGGCTGGGCAGGACGGGCTTGGAGGGACCAGTGGAATGGACGTTGATGGCGCCACCCTCGGCGCCCCCGTGCCCTCCACTGCGCAGGTTCCTGCCGCGGCCGCGGCCCCTCCCCCTGCAGACGCTGCAGCGGGAGCCACCCCGCCGCCAGGCGGTGGCTACCTAAACGGTCGCCCGCAGCATGGACTCGTGCAAGCAGCAGCGCTAGCCTCCAGCGCTGGCACGGCTCCCCCTGCAGCGCCCGCCACCGGATCGCTCTCCGGCCCTTCGGGCGCGCTCGCGCTGCCAACTGGTGCTGCGGCGCCAGCGCCCGTGCTTCCAGTCTCGCCAGTAGCACCCGCGCCAGCAGCCGTTGCCGCGCCCAGGGCCGGCCCCGCCTCCGCCGAGGCCCCCCCGACACTGCCGCCACAAGGGCGGCCGCAGCTGTTTGCCCCGGGCCAGACTGCCCCCTTGCGCCTCGGAGAAGAGCATCCCGGGCAGCTTGCCCACCAAGGCGGAGCGAGGGCGTTGCATCTTGGTGCTGTTGCAGACCTTTCGGGCGACGGTCAGGCCCTCAGCAGTGACCGCAATGGCGGCGGCGGATCCGGCCAGACGGCCGCGCCGACGACCATGCAAGCAGCAGCACCGACGTCAGCGCCAGCACCGGCAGCAGCACCGACGTCCGCACCAGCAGCATCACCGACGTCCACAGCAGCACCGACGGTGGCTCCAGACCTAGCTGCACCACCGACAGCAGCAGCACCGGCGCTAGGACGCGCAGTAGCACCGACGTCAACGTCGGCACCGGTTTCAGCACCGACGCCAGCACCAGCAGCCGCACCGGCGTCAGCTCCAGCACCAACTCGGACGACAGCGCCCGCACCAGCAGCAACACTGACGCCAGCACCAGCACCAGCGCCGCCGTCACCAGCAGCACTGACATCAGCTCGGACTCCAACAGAAACACCGACGCCAGCACCAGTAGCACTGACATCAGTACCAGCAGCACTGACGTCCGTACCAGCAGCACCGACGTCAGTACCAGCAGCACCGACGTCCGTACCAGCAGCACCGACGTCAGTACCAGCAGCACCGACGTCAGTACCAGCGGCACCGACGTCAGCGCCAGTAGCTCCGACTCCAGCAGCAACACCGGCGCCGGTACCACCAGCATCGACGTCACGGAACCCCGTCCGGAGCACGCCGGGCACACCAGCAGCGCCCGCCGCAGCGGCACCAGGTGCCCCCCCTTCGTCCGGGGACCGCGCGGACGGCGCAGTTGCGACGGCGCCCCTCGGCAGCCGGGGCCGCGACCGAGGGCGCGGACATGGTGCTAGCGGCGCCGGGGCCCGCGCTGCGGCCCGCCGCCGAGGCTCAGCTGGCCCTGCCCCGCGACTGGCGGGAGTCCGGCGCCGATCCCCTGTGCCCGCCGAGCCGGGCCTCGAGGACGTCGCCCACGGGGCCTGGCCCCCCTTGCCTCGCCGCATGCGCGTCCGGCAGGCGGGAGCGGAAACGGCGGCACCTGGACATGACCGCGACCCCACGGGCCCAGGCGACCCTGCATTCCAGAGCTGGGCTGGATTCCTGGACCAGCCCGCCGTTCAGGCCGCGGCGCCCAGCGACACGGCCGCCGCGTTGCCTGCCCAGCCGGTCTGCTTGCTCTCGCTCTTCGACAGCCTTGGCATGACGCGCGTGGCGTTGGACGGACTCTTGCGGGACTTCCGCCATCCTGGATTAGCCCGGTCAGGCTTCGCCGAGGCTGACGCGACACTTGCCGCGGCGGTTGAGCGCAGCTGGGTCACCCAGGCTCGCCTCACAGGTACGACGCCTCACGTCAAGCTCGCTGGCGACATCTGGGACCTCTTCCGCGGGGCGGACCCTCCGCTGGCCCGCTTCGGCCGGGGCTTCCCGCCAGGCAGCCTAGTGCTGGTGATCGCCGGCACCCCTCCCCAGCAGCTGCATGCCGCGGGCCCGCACCAAGGCCGCCAGGGCCTATGCGGCGACGACTCGTACCTCTTCTGGACGATACCGCTGGTTGTCTGGAGCCTGCAGGGCCTGCGGCCCGACTGTCACGTTCACGCCGTGGTGGAAAGTGCAGCCACCACCCACCCCCTCCATAGGGCGGCGATGACCAGGGCCCTCGGCGATCTCGACGACGGTGGACACGTACTGGTGGTGGACTCCAGGGCATGGGCTCCTTTCCCGCGGAGGCGCCTTTACCTCAGCACGCTGCCGATCGTGCTGGATCCCAGCCTCGCGCCTGTCCGCCGGCCGGCTCCCTGGGAGGGCGGCTTCGCACCCCACTGGGACGATGGAGGTACTCCGCCGATGACGCGTTCCACAGGGCTCGGGGATCAGATTCGGCACAGCACTCCCCAGTACCACCCGCGCACGATGCTATACGCGGCCGACGCGCCCTGGCGGCAGCTCACGCTGAACGACGTCGCGGCCCGATTCCGCCGCATCCTCCCCAGGCACCTCCTCCCCGCCTTCGGGCTCGTCCTGGGAGGGAGGTCGCTGGAGAACAACCTCGAGGCACAGAGATTCGCTTGTTGGGTGGAGACCCACGGCGCAGCCCACGGGGTGAGGATGCCCTCCCCCGCAGAGCGCGCGGCTGCCACGGGCCATGGGCCCTATCTCGCGGGGCTCGGACTGGAGGCCCGACAGTTGTTCGATGCGGTCGGGAGCCATTTGGACGTGACCGCCCTGCAGGTGCGGCTCCGCGGACCACTACGCGATTGGCTCCAGGGAAGGACAGGGCATCCGCGGGCGTACCACGCGCCAGCCGCGTTGCTCTCCCAGCACCGCCGGCTTGCTGCGGACGTGGACGGCCTTCCGGGCCCACCCCGCCCCACGCGCGAGTGGCCTGCACCGCTCGACCTGGTCGGCGACATGCTTGGCGCACGGCGACCCGCCCAGCGCCTGGCCGGACCTGATGCGGAGCATCCGCAGGACGGTCCTGCATCCGCTCCGGCCGCCGCACCCGCGGTGCCCGCCGCAGCCGGTCTGCCGGCCTCCAGTGCTGCGCACGCTGCTGCAGCTCACCCCCCAGCGGCCGAAGACGGCCGCCGCGCCCAGTGATGGATCCGGACGCCGCCCTCCTCCTGGACGCCCTCGGGCGGCCGCCTCCGGGCGCCCCACTGCCCCAGGCCCGCGCGCGTGCTTGAGCAGCGGTCCGGGACAGGCTTGCGGTCGCTCTCGCTGCCGCTGGGGTGTCAGCGAGGGTCCGCTCGGCGAACGCCTTGTGGCTGCTCCTCCACAGGTCCCGGGTGCCGCCGGGCGCCACATGGGGCCGCCTTTGCGAAGGCCGAGGCCTCTCGCAACTGTTGGCCGCGCTGCGCGAGGACCGCGCGGGCGCCGGCCTCCGCCTCGCCGCTTGGAACATCAGGTGGCTGGTCGACCCCCACGCCACGAACAATTCGGCCAAGCGCCGGATGGTCCAGGGGTGGCTCGACGCTGGGCGCATCGTCCTGCTCGGGGAGACGCACTGGGGCGCAGCAGAGCAGGCGCTGTGGGCAGCCCAGTTTCCGCCGGCCACGGTCCACTCTTCTCCGGCACAGGTTGGGCCAGGCGGCGGAGCTACCGGCGGCGTTGCCGTGCTGCTCCCGGCGACGCTGCAGGCGACGACCGTTGCGGAGCTAGTGCCTGGGTGTGCACTGGCCGTCCACACGATCATCGCCGGCTCCTTGGTCCGTTTCGTTTCCTTGTACTTGCCGCCGGGCGCACAGCGCGCCACCCTGGCGGCCGTGCGTGCGGCTCTTCCTGCAGCCCCCGAGGTGGCCACTTACCTCGGCGGCGATGTGAACTTCCAGT